GAGATTTTAAAAATCACATACCATTTGGCACTTTTCCTCTCCACAGTGCTCTATTCCCATTAAATGGAAGGAGAGCCAGGCCTCTCACTATGGCAAATTTGCTTAATTGTATTTTCTCTCTCCTAAAGTGGGAAGGGCTTAAAAACTTGCTTCCCATGGTGGTCACCTTTGCTCTGAATGAGAATGCATTTGCCCTTTCCAGAACATCGATGCCATCTCGTACTTTACAAACTGGATTTGGAACCACTTAACAAAGGCAATATGCAAACACATGTGAATAAGACGAAATCAGCTAAGGAGTCCAGAATCCTGGGTATGATTTTATAATAGAATGCATACACCACTCTTGGCTTTATTTTACTTGCTGGTGGAGAAGTTCAGGGACTGGATGTCAAAGGAGAAATAGGGCGATACAAATATAGAAGTTCATGAAGTGCCTCACCCTCCACAAGAGAGTGGGTCTGGATTTACCCACCATACCTTCCATATCATTGAATTTCGGGAGTAGGGTTGATGTTACCATTATAACTCATTGTCACTCAATGATTCAGGTAATGCGTGTTCTGATTGGAGACTTGGAAATCCAGTCACTACAATCATAGGTGCTGCCTTCTTGCCACTCACATCCCAAGTGGGAATAGCCCAGGTGAGTCACGCCCCACACCCTCTCCTAGAAGCTGAGGATTCACCCAATGTCAGAGGCCAAATCATCCTCAGATACCATCTAGTCAAACTTCCTAATTTTACAGATGGGCAAACTGAGAGCCAGTGGCCCAGTGTCACAATAATACAGGGAGTTGGTGGCTACACAGAAATAAGGATTTGGGTCCTTTGAATTTTGGTCCAGGAACTACCATTTTGTTCTTTAAGAGTTTTTAAAGGACACAGAAGCACATTTTCTAAAGTCTTTATAATCTTTGTGTGTGTGTGTGTGTGTGTGTGTGTGTGTGTGTCTGTGTGTCTGACAGTCTCGCTCTGTCACCCAGGCTGGAGTGCAATGGCACGATCTCAGCTCACTGCAACCTCTACCTCCTGTGTTCAAGCGATTCTCATGCCTCAGCCTCCTGAGTAGGTGGGATTACAGGCGCCCACCACCACGCCTGGCTAATTTTTGTATTTTTAGTAGAGACAGGGTTTCACTATGTTGGTCAATCTGGTCTCGAACTCCTGACCTCAAGTAATCTACCCACTTTGGCCTCCCAAAGAGCTGGGATTATAGGCATAAGCCACCGTGCCGGGCCAAAGTCTTTATAATCTTAAAAGGAGAGAGAGGAAAGAGATAAGCGTAAGAAGGAAGGCATAGCTAATTAATTGGAGGGGGATGGTCTAAGCTCAAGCTTTGAAATGAAACAGCTGGATCGACCACTTAGTTGATGTGTGAACTTGGAAATTCACCTAAAGTTACTGAGTCTTAGCCCTCATCTTTTTTTTTTGAGATGGAATCTCGCTCTGTTGCCTGGGCTGGAGTGCAGTGGCACGATCTCGGCTCACTGCAACCTCCGCCTCCCGGGAGAATGGGCACGCCATTCTCCTGCCTCAGCCTCCCGAGTAGCTGGGATTACAGGCGCGTGCCACCACACCAGTTAATTTTTTTTTTTTTTTGATATTTTTAGTAGAGATGGGGTTTCACCATGTTAGTCAGGTTGTTCTGGATCTCCTGACCTCGTGATCTGCCTGCCTCTGTCTCCCAAAGTGCTGGGATTACAAGCGTGAGCCACCGCGCCCAGCCAGCCCTCATCTTTTAAATTGAGATGGTAATTGTGCCTACTTTGCAGGGTTGTGTAAGGATTAAATAAGATAATGCACAGGTCCTGGCACTGACAAAATGCTTAATAAAGATGGGCTATTATTATAACTCCAGTGCAGACACCCAAGGACTTGGATAGACTGCCAAGAAATCAGTCCTGAGGGGGCCTGTCCTTCAGCCAAACTTCCTCCCTGCCAGATCCTCTCTTCCAGCCTGGGCTGCTATGCTGCACAAGTCCTCCACTCTACCCCTCCAAATAAATGGCAATCATGACATTTTTATTATCCAGCTTCATACACAGATCTTTCCAGCAGAGTAACAGGGTACTGACTAAAAATAAAGATGCAAAAGGACCAGGGATAAAGGGAATTGGTAAGGAAATAAGAATAGAAAAAGGAAGGAGAGCTATTAAGAGATTCCTTCCATCTTTGATCACAATGCTGGATCACGTAGTAAAGCCTGTATAAGTATAGGGAATGTGAAGTACAATTAGCAGTATATCATTCCTCCACGGAAGTTACACTGCTAGCAAAATGAATGCTCATCGCTTTTCCCCTACCCTGCCTGAATCATTAAATACTGTGGATTACTGTGCAAGTTTCCCCACCCCCTAAAACCATGAAAACCTTGTCCTATAAAAAGCTGGTTTCAGTGGCATTCTAGTCACTGACTCTCTGCTTGGTACTGTACGAAGATAATATTTATCAAGATGACTGATTCAACAATGGTCAAATAACATTCAATATAGTTTCAGTGAGAAATACATGTGATCACATTCTGAGTCTGAAAGTCCACACGACATCTTTAGCACATGTCAACCAGAACATCTTATTTTCTGGTTATATCAGAAAAGACAACTTGCTGGCTCTTCACTCAGATCTGCAGTTTTCCTTTTAACTCTCCACTTGTCTTCTTGTGAAATATGGGCCTGAAAGGACAACAGGGTCACATTTTCCTAAGACAGTATCTGTTTTGCAGAGTGTATGTCTGATGCTGGCACCACCCAGCAGCTGGAGACCTAGGTGCCGGAAGTTTGAAGTTCTGATGTTGCATTTTAAACCCCAAAGCTCAGTGGGTCTTCATCTTAGTTGCAGAGAACTCATCATCTTCATTTTTTTTTTTTTTCTGGATGCAATAGTTGCCCCCTGCCAGACACGAGAACAAACAGAATGTGTTCTGTCTTTTCCAAGATTGCTTCATCAGCATGTATTTTCCACTTAAAGCTTTTCAGTATTTGACTTATACATTTATGAACACCCCCCAGTGGACTGTTCGGGTTTGGTTTAATCCCCAAGAAAACTGGCATTAAAATAGATCTTTTCCCAGCAATAATAATCTAATTTATGATAAATTATTCTATTCTCAGTACCTTTGAGACACATGAGAGCTTTTATGTAATAAAAAAGCCATTTATTTCTGAATATTTTAATGCATGTTTCCATATTTTTCTCATTTTTAATGCAAGGGCCATTGACAGTATTGTAAGAGAATGTCTTTTAAAGCAACTTTATGGCAAATGTTCCAGTGAAATGGATGGCAGCGTGCGTCATTGCAGAGCTGTACTGCTGAAAGGAGCAGGGCAGAGATGTTCTAATTCACATTTATGTGCATAAAAGGGTAACCTCTACAGAGAGAGACAATGGTATTGGGTAAATTGATAAGATATAGTAGACTTGGCTTCAGTTTGAGGCTCCATCCTTTGATTTGCTGTACATACTTAGTTATTGCTGTGTCTCCTATGCCATGTCTGAAATATAGAAGGAACACATGCTGGAGAAGGCTATGACAACTACTGGGGAAAGAAAGTAAGTCAGAGCCTTAGGTGTTAACTGGAAAGAGAGACTGTTTTAAAAGGACAGAGAATCAAGGAGCAAATAGAATGTCTTTGGACAGAAATTAGACTACATACGTGTGTGTGTGTGTGTGTGTGTGTGTGTGTGTGTGTATTCACTGCAGCCTCAACCTCCCAGGCTCTAGCAATCCTTCTGCCTCCTCCTCCCAAGTAGCTGGGACTACAAGTGCGCTCCACCACGAGGGGCTAATTTAAAAATTTTTTTTTTTTTTTTTAGAGACAGGGTCTCACTACGTTGCCCAGGCGGATCAGGAACTCCTGAGTTCAAACAATCCTCCCACACTGGCCTCTCAAAGTGCTGGGATTACAGGCATGAACCACTGGGCCCAGCCTATTTTGATTTTTCAAGCTTTCATTTCCAGAGCTGTTCATTTGGATGGGTGCCCACCATCTAAAAAGCTACTAGGATAGTGGTTGTTGACTGAGAAGGTAGAAGCAGGTTGTGGAAGTGGGAACGGTGTCTGAATCAAAATACACACATCCTTGGTTCTGTGATTTTAAAGCCATCTTGAGAAATCTCAGAAATGTAATTCTGATACTCTCCCTGATCAAGAGCCACTGCAGTAGTATGAGTTTGAGATTTAACCTCAATCATATATGCTTACAGGAGATACGAAAATGCATATTTGACATGAACAGAAACACACTTCTGAGATAAGAAGCCGACTCTTCACAAATGTCTTACTGATGCTTTTTGATAAAATGCTCTGTGCTTTTTTTTTTTTTTTTTTTTTTTTTTTTTG